CGTTCCCCCCGTGGCGGCCGCCGCCTCGTCGTCGGGCGGCCCGCGGCTGCGGGAAGTGCTGTCGCGACTGAGCCTGGGCCGGCAGGACGTGTCCGAGGCGTCGGGGCTGGTGAACCAGGTGGTGTCGCAGCTGATCCAGGCCATCCGGAGCCAGGAGGGCAGCTTCGGCTCCATCGAGCGGCTGGGCGCCGGCAGCTACTACGAGCACGTCAAGGTGGGTGCGGGGGCACAGGCGTTTAAGGGTCGCCACGTTAATGAACGACAGCTAACGATAAAACCCGGCCGGCTTACCGAAAGGTGGAATGTGTGCGCGGTTAGTAAGAGAGACGCTGCCCGAGGGAAGGCCCCGTGCCGGTTTTTCGGGGATAGGTTTTCCCAAAAAGCAGGTGAAAGAGCGGTACCTTTCTTCTGGTTCCAGCTCAGTCTGAAACAAAGCCAAACACAGGGACACTTTCTGGAGTTTTGTTGGTTTTTTTTTTTTAAATCCAGCTTCAGGCATAGTAATGCTCCCCCCCCCCGATTTCTGCATGCATTTATGCATTACTCTGAACAGCTTAAGAATCTTAAAACTCTCTTAAAAATTAATAAGTTGGAAAGCTGGGAAATGAACTGCTCTTCTCCACTCGAATGCACAGCAATCTTGTAATACAAATCTACAGAAGTAAGCTCGTACGTCACACCAGACATGAGAAGTACACCAAGGTAGCTGGAGATAAACCGCAAGTGGTATAAAAGCCTAAAGGGAATAAAACCTAAGTTGCACGTTGACTGTTGTATTCTCGTACTTTCCAGATATCTGAACCAAATGAGTTTGACATCATGCTCGTAATGCCTGTTTCAAGACTTCAGCTGGATGAATGTGATGACACTGGAGCCTATTATTACCTAACATTCAAAAGAAATCCAAAAGAGAAGCATTTGTTTAAGTTTTTAGATGAAGATGGAAAATTATCAGCCTTTAAAATGCTTCAAGCACTAAGAGACATTATTAAACGAGAAGTAAAAAACATTAAAAGTAAGTACTGAGAGAACAGGCTTCACGTTGGAGTGCTAAAAGTCCAGTTACATTGGGTATATGCATTGCCCTGTTAATAAAATGGGATTTTCCCCCCAGTCAACTGTCTCTGTGGCAGTGTAGCCCTAACCATAAGCCCTCCTGTCCCCAGTATCCCAAATTTGCTCTCGTGCTAAGAATCACCACAAATACATCACAGCTAATCATATTATGTGATTAATCCATTGCTCCGCTACGCAATCCTCTTCCCTTTAATATTCATTAATTTCATATGGATTGTCACACATTTGGTACTTCCTACACAACCTATGTATTTTGAATCTATGTATCTGCCATGCACAAAGAGCCATTTGCTGAACTGGTAGCAAAAGGAAGAGCTTTCTTTTATACATTAGCTACTATTTTACATCCATCTATATAGAAAACATATCCCTTTTTAGGGTGCTCTTTTTTTCCAAAGCCTTCAGAAATGTGGCCAAATCTCTTTCCATCTCAGTACTTTCAACAGTGAAGTGGCTAGCTGGAAAACATTACTGTATTTCTGATTCTGTAGACATAGGAAATCAAGTGGGCAGTTCAAGAAGAGCAATCCTTATTTTGTAGAACTCCTCAACAGGCCTTCTTAATGTTTTATTTAAAATCCATATCCTGTAGGATAAAGAGCCAGCAACTGAACCCAGGTATTTCTTTTGATTATAAATTCCTCTCAAGTAAAAACCTTAACATTCTTCAAAAAACAGTTTCTAATGTTTATATATATATATAAAAAAAATGAATTTCTTCTTTGTTACTAGATGCAGAAGTAACTGTGAAAAGGAGGAAGGCTGGAAGCCCTGCAATAACTCTTCAGATCAAAAATCCTCCAGCAGAAATATCAGTGGACATCATCTTAACTTTGGAAGTTCAGCAGAACTGGCCGCCCAGCACACAGGATGGCCTCAAAATTGAACAGTGGCTTGGAAGAAAAGTCAGGGGACAGTTCAGAAACAAATCACTTTATTTAGTAGCCAAGCAAAACAAAAGAGAAAAGGTTCTAAGAGGTACTTCAAATACAATAAGTTATGACATATCTTCTCTACAACTTGATCGCTGTTAAAAGTGCTATATAAAGGGTATCCAGTTTCTGTTCAGTATTCTGCCTTTGAGGTGCAGATCTTTACCTTATCCTGGATATATCCAGATCAGAGACAACTGAAATCCTTCTTTAAAACTTTAGATTTGTGACACTGCTCATCCTCTACAGAAGTCTAAAGATAAAACTCCTCTGCCAGGCTGTACACTAACCATTCCCAAGAGCATTATATTAAATCTGCTAAGTCAGGCACATGGATGTGAACCTTTCCCATGCTAGCGCTGTACTTAACAGCAACATCCACTCCTTTGCTTTGTAAGAAAAAAAAAAAAAATCTAAAAAGGCAGGGAACAGCCCTGTAAGTGGGACTGCATACACAAGTTACATACTTCTGCAAGAAGTAAACTGGGTACTTTTCTAGCAAGATACATTATTTATTACTGAACCCTGGTATGGCTACAAGATTTTTTTTTTTTTTCCCCTCTCCAGACGGCTGTCACACCAAGCCTACATTACTTTGCAGAAACATCCCAACTTGTCATTGCATTATGAGAACTGATGATTTCAGTAGAAAGAGTTCAGGCAATCTGTTTTTTTGGGGTTTTTTTTGTTTTTGTTTTTTAATTAGCATGCCCATCTTAACAATGCCAAGTAAATCATTATTGCTTTACTGGGCTATGTCTTCCTGTGAAAATTCAAGGCAAAGAGTAAGCAAACCAAACAGGCAAAGGAAACAGTCTAACTTACATAAAGAAGACAAAAATGAGTGCTGGTGTTTTAAAAACAAGGGGTTAAGCTATCTTAATCATTGTTTTCAGAAACATTACCAGAAGAACAAAAATAAATGCTTTAGAACAGTCACCCTACCCCAGACAAACTCACAAGCCTATGACTTGCACAAAGAAATTGCAACCAATGGTGAAGATCTTTTTATTCAAAACCAAAATGGTTATGGAGTAAGGTTAGTAATACAGAACAGAAATTCAAAGGTAGTAGATTTCTACGAGTAGCGTAATTCCCCAAATCATGTTCAACAAATGCAGGAAAGTCCAGAATTAAGCTTAAAGTAGATCCAAAGGTCCTTAAGAATGTAGTTAAAGCATCCAAACAATTAACTATATCCTATACTAGTAATATTCTTTGCCCTATATTAATAGCATTCTTAATAACATGTCTTTGTGTGGAACAGCTGGGGAATTAAGGCAGAATTAACTAATTGTAGTCCCTCAATTACAATTTTTGGTTTTGTTTTTTTTTTTTTAGGGTGCAAAGAAATTGCTGATATTTAAAATTAAGCCCGTACTTGTAAAGTGTCTTTTTTTTCTAGTTGCAGACACTGGTACTAACTGCTGTGGAACAGTTTTAACAATCTTGTACTCAACTTTAGGAAACACCTGGCGACTCTCTTTCTCGCATATTGAGAAGGACATGCTGAACAACCACGGCAGCTCAAAGACATGTTGTGAATCTGATGGACTAAAGTGCTGTAGGTTGGTATTTCATATGAATATTTTACTTTAAGCCTGTATGAGCCAGGGTAGTGCTGTCTAGCACTGTTTCAGTTTAGGAATTGGATCTAAGACTAATTACTCAGTGAGCAAGAATAAGGCTTTTAGGCATCATTGTTCTACAGCAGTACAATACTGCACGTACTCGCCAAACGTCTGACTTGCATTTACTCAGCAGGAGGTGGAAACAAATTACATTGCAGGTTTACACGCCAGACTTGCCTTAGAAAGCAAAAAGATGCGACTTGTTAAATCATCTTTCCCAAACAGTCCTGTTTAGAAGAACCAGCTTAAAAGTCTGATGACTCAGCTTTCTGAGCTTTGGGAGCAAAATTACACTTCGTACCAAGGCAATTTCTAAAACGATGGTAAGACAAGAACTGCTGAATGTGATCAGGATGAATAAATGTGATTTTTCACTCCAACAAAAACTGGTTTCCACATGTCTTCAAAGAGGAAGAACAAAATCTGCATGAGATAGAGTACACCTCCTTAATGGCAAACCAACTTCTTAGTTTACTTAATTAACATCTTGTACTGAATCAAGAAAGCCACAAGATCACTAAAGCGTAATTCTTTGTCTTTGCTTTAAAAATTATCAGACATGCTGTACCCCTATCTAGCAATGTATTATTAAACTATATATACCTCTTCCCCTCTTGGGCTGCCACAGGAAGGTGGGGGCATTTCCCTCGGTGTAAATCCAAGCCAATAGGGCAGCTTTAATCTTAAGCAGTGCTCCAAGTTCATGTTATACTGGTAGCATCTGCAGCTGGGAGACTGTACTATGTAAGCACACTGCTGACCAACGCTTTGAATTTCTGTGCTGCTGTGGCTACCAAAGTGGTGCATGCACAAAAACTATTGTTTAAAGTAGAAATCCTTGACTGGTGGAATCTGACTTCATGGGCGGGACTCCTAGGATTATCGAGACTGTTGCTGCACTTACTTTCAGATTTTATTCAAAACATTACTAAAAATGTTATTCTATTACAGTAAGAACATTTTTACTGCTTTCATGAATAATGTGTATTTAAAAATCTAAAATACATACTTAGAACTATGTAGTAGAAGGTACCTAATAAATTCTTACTTATTTAACAGGAAAGGTTGTCTTAAGCTTCTGAAGTATCTTCTAGAGCAACTTAAAATGAAATATACAAAACAGTTGGAAAAATTCTGTTCATATCATGTCAAAACTGCTTTTTTCCACTCGTGTGTCATGTGGCCAAATGACACAGACTGGCATTTGGGAGACCTGGATTACTGCTTTCAGAAATACCTGGGATATTTTCTGGATTGCCTGCAAAAATCTGAGCTGCCACACTTTTTTATTCCCCAATACAACTTGCTCAGCCTGGAAGATAAAGCGAGCAATGATTTCCTTTCAAGACAGATAAACTATCAGTTGAACAACAGATTCCCAATATTTCAGGAGAGGTATTAAAAACATTGTTTACATTAACTATCTAATCATGTATACTTGCATATTTAAAGCCAGAAGATCTGCAACTGAAGTTACTCCTCAGTAGTCTGATACTACAAAAACCAAAACAAAATCCAGAACACTAAGAGAAAGTTGCATACTTCAGTTGCGCTGCTTAGCCATAACCCTTAAAAAAATAGGACAGTTTAAGTAATATTTATCTTCCCTATCCAAATGTAGATGTCACCTGAAAAATATCTTCAAGGTATGCAAAGAAAGTACAGAAGAATTTGGAGTAGTTAAGTTTCCCACATGTAACTTCTACGATTCCAAATATAAAGGCATCAATGACTGGGTAAAGTGAAAAATGATGATTTTATTTAAAATGAAGATCCATTGCAGAATATCCAAAATACACTCCTGCTTTCAAAAGAAAACAATAAAAAGTCACTGGAGTTACTTCGACATAAACCAGAACAACTTCTCCAGATCAGCTGGGTGGATGAAGACCTTTTGCAGAGGACAGTCACCAGCAGCAGAGAGAGAATATGGGATCAAAACAGTATGAAGTTCCTGAAGTAACTTACCTTCTCTGAGTCTTTTCACTGGACTTTGGATAGGAAGCAATCATTATCTAATGTGCTGCAAAAGAGTAAATGTTATTGTGCCAATGAGCATTTGTGTGACAACTCTTGTGGAAAGAAATGTATCTTCAACCTGTATCGAGGAGGCAGAGTCTCCATGTGAAAGGTTATCAAAACCAAAATGCAGCATGAACCTGACATTCTCAGAATTGGAATTCAGCTCAGTTTTTCTTATGTTGAAGAGTATGTGTTTTAGGAAAAAAAAATAATAATTGTAATATTTTCTATTACTGAAATCATGCAGCTGATAAATACAGAGCATTTGGGAACTGCTGTACTGTATTTTGCTTTTTCTTAAAGCAGCCATGGGAAGTCCATATTTTTAGCCTACTTTCTGAAGGCAAAATAACCTACTGGCTTAAATAATGCCCAGACTTCACCTCAGTTATGAGGATATAAAAAAAGAGGGAAGGCCAGAAGAACATTTAGAGAATAATTTTGCTATAATAGTCTCATCTTACTAGATTCAGTTTATTAGTTATTCATTTCATCATGACATGAATAAACACAAGTTCAGACTAAGTGTCAAATGAAGGAATAGCTCCTTCCCATATAACTTCCAACAAGTGAAAACACACCCCATTATCATTAAGCAGTCTGTGTGACAGAACCTGACATCCAAATGTAAAATTTGAATCAACTTTATCTGAAAGAAATAGAAGCAGACCTTGAAATGTATCTTTTCCTCACGACTTTGTTAACATTGCTCCAGTAAACTCTGGGTTTTTTCCTCCTTAAGCTAGAAAACTATATCCATGAGAACAAGAGTAGAAGCTGGTTTTTTTCCAGTTAGCCACGAACACATACTTCTTGTTATGCTCTCCTCCATCAGAAGGAAATGCAGACTTCTCTCAAAAAAACCCAACCTTGAGACACAAGTCTTAACAAAATTACTTCCAATGTTAAGCTTTAAAATAATTAAAAAAACCCCGCCAAACCCAAAAAACTTGCTTCAGCAAACACCAATTACTGCAAACAGAGTGGTTTTCAAATAACTAAGTTATCCTTGGAAATACTTATGCATGCCACTGGCAGATGTGGCATATCAATGCAGAAGTACAGTACTTTGAAGCCACACTGACAAACATGGCTTACATTCACTAATCCAGTTCTCTGAAAATAAAAAGAAAAAATACGTTTTACATTCATATATATTAATACTGTATTTAATTAAAAAACCTAAACCCACAATAGTTGTTTTTAACTAGTAGATAATGGCTTTAGAAGTTATGCACATCACACAAGAAAAAAAATAATGAAATTCATTTTTCTTAAGTGAAAATAGTGTCCAAGCACAAAACTGGATTTACTTCTACATAAAGTTAATCCAGTTTTCTTTTCTAAGCCAATTTTTAAAACACATTTTATTTAAATGGGACAGGTACAGAAAACAATCAACTGACAAAAGAAACTAGTAAATTCATGCCCATAAATGCTAACACTAACTATAATCACTTACTTTGTTTCAGTAACTTCAAGGGATTACAGTTACTTTGAGGGCTTTCTCTGAGGTCTTCGTATATCCTTTTCAATTTCTTTTCTGATTTGAAATTGTTTGTATCTTTCTGCCATTGCAATAAGCTCATTAGGAACTACCTGATAGGAAAGCAGCATAAGAACAAGGTCAGTTTTAAATAATTCTAAACTTTCAGACTCTTGCTTTACAAAAATGGTATTTGTGTGTTCCCAAACTTGATTTTGTTATTTATCTGGCTCCTGTCACTTTGCAGATTGTCTTTTCTGTAGAGATGCATAGGGAAATCTTTTTACATAGAAGTATACTGAAATATATTGAAAAATAATCAGCACAGTGTCCCTGGATTTTCAATTACATATGTATGCTAGTATCACCATATCTGATGACAACATATAACCAGCTAATTAAAAATTTGTATTTCAGATCGAAATCTATCTTTCGGTGACAATGAACAGCTGGAAAAAACATCCCGTGCCACTAAAAGGTGATACCATACCATATATATTTGAATGTTACACTATTATGATTGATATTAAATTCCTTTTCGAAGTTTTAAGAGCCTTTGAAGAGAAACTTCGGTACTTAAAGTGTTGCCATAGGAAGGGTTCTCACATGGATAAAACAAAGCTAAAAGAAAGAAAACAAGGGCAGGAGAAAGTGGTCAGTTCTCCCACCACCGGGAGGTCACACGAGCATCTTACCAAGACCCGTGGTGCTTTCTGGCATGTTTGTAATTAGTGGAAAAAATTATGTGTATCATCTGCACACTTTGTCACCTCAGAGTTACTCATGTTTGTAAGGAATGGGGCCAGATGCAAAGAATTACAGACAGACTGTATTGGGTTGAGTGACACTGATCGTTGAATGAAAGAAAAACAAACAAACAAACTATATACCATTCTTACAGATCATGGAACAAAGGCAGTGTCCAACAAGCCTTCTTAAACCAGATCAGGCATAATGCAGACATTAACGCAACATTTACTGCAAAAAGCAGTATAGGTGACTACACTGTCAGAAGAGGTTTTAGATCACTAATCTATCAAAGCCAGCCTGCTTCAACAATCCGATACAGCACGTAGCCACGCAGCAGCTAGAAGATACCCAGTCCAGAATCAGTGTCCCGATTGGAGTGAAGAGCAAGCTTCTGCGGTGCGTGTGAGCATAGTATTAACGTGATTGCTCAGCCTCTGTGCTTTGTCCCTCCGCAAGTGGCACAAATACAGTGCAAACAGTACAGTACAAACAAATTTAAATACTGTTAAGTCTCCTTAGAAACACCTAGATCTGGCAATGCTTGCGCAGGTGAAGAATGCAGCCATGACAAAGGGCCTGATGGAGCAGGAAGGTATATTCTTCCAGTTCCAACTTCTTTTGTTAAGCTTTATAATTCAGCAATGCTTGCCATTTGCTATCAACAACTTTTCTTAAGCTAGCATAAGCGTCAGTTCATTAGTATACATTTTATGTGCTGAATTGGTCTTACTGGTAGACAACTGCCCTGGTTGTCCGGAGTCCATAGAACAGGATGCCTATGCAACAGTCTATTCTGCCTAAGTTTTAGACATTGTTTAGAAATGAAGTGAAAAATGATGCATATCTCTAGCTGAAAGTCATTACAGGAAGTAATGAGACAACATTACTATCCAGCTGAAACACTGGATAATTTTCTTCCTCAGGATCAGATCAGATCCTCTCCTACAGCATGAAACAGAATTTATTCCAACTAAAATTGCAACAATTTCTTGCAAGAGTTGTTCTTGAGTGGACACAAGAAAAGAGTGGGAAAAAGCCTGGATATGGAACATAAAAATCTCAGTGAGGTAATATCCAGCATCTACATCCAGCAAGATTTTTACATGGACAATCTGTGTATCTGCTAAACGTAAAAGCTAGGTACGGTAGTCCAAATGAGAAAACCAAAAAGGATAAAGATGCCATAATTTTTATGTAACACTCTTGGTATTAGAGAGATCAGCGTTCTTCTGCCTGATTCCCTAATAAATCTGTCCATGCTTCCTAATAAGCTTATCTATAAAGATCCCTGCAGCATGATACAGCAATCTTTCTCTTGTACCTGTTTTTCTTTAGGGAGATTATCTGTACATTCAAAATCATGGAAAACATCTGGCTAACAAATGCACCTTACTTGTTTTGAAATTGAAGTATTCTGAACCTTCAGACCATGTTTTCAGTTGCTCTCCTTCCCTTTTGCACGATGCTTTAAGACTGAAGTAATGATATTTTCACTGTCATGAGGAAAAAAAACCCTGGCTGTATGGGTACTTGCCTTCTATCAGCTATAACTAAAAGTCTGAGAATAATGTTGTGACTAACAGTTACCCTTGAAAGTAAGGATTCAGAGATGCTCTTTTTCTCCTCTGAACTCAGAGACTCGTTCCCAGTTGAACTCACACACGTTAAAAGTTTGGGAACTTCACAGTCTGCAGCAGGAGACAAGGCATGGATGGTAACAGCTGACTCGGAACAAGGGAGCTCTAAGTTATATTTAACTGGCTTCCAAGTATCATTACCAGTTTAATTTCTTACATTTTCTGAAGAAAAAATCCACAAACAAAACCAAACCAAAAACCAAAACAAAAAAAACCCCACCCTAAACAAAAACCCAAACCCTGCAACTTTAAGAAGTTATCATCAGGGGACAACTCTTTTTTTTTTTTTTTCTTTTCCTCCCTCAAAAGCATCTTATCACGTTTGCAATAAGTGGCATATCTTTCAAAGAAGAGTTGTAAAACAGAAGATTCAGGTGAAGTTCTAACTCAGGGTTTAAAGTTTGAGTTAGTGCCCACAATAACAACCACAGGTCCTTGGTAAAAAGCAATTCAGTTTGTACTCAAACTCCCATCCCTCAAAAAAAAATTTAAAATTTCAACTTGAGTCAGGGCATGAACTGGGGGTTTACTATAAATCAGGCAAAATACTGTTTCTTGTTACAGCAAGGAACAGCAACATAATTGCCTCTGGCTTCTCAGATATGGTAGCAAGAAAAGAATGTTTCTTTAAAATAAAGAAACAAATCATATTCCAGTCCTATCTCCCATACTATTTACAAACATCTGTAAGAAAGATAGTTTGGAAAAGTACATGCAGATATCACAACTGTCAGATACAATAAACTGAAAGATAGCTTAGCTTTTTCTGATACAAATATTGTTAATATTTACACTGTTAAGTAAGAACACTGGTACATGTGTCCAGAAGTGAAAGACTGGAATAAAATACTATGAAATAAAATAGATCCCATGTGCGTGTATGTTTGTTTCTTCTTCTTTGGACATGGAAGGCTTTGATTAAAGTTCCCTGTTCTTTGCTGGGACTCATCTGTAAGGTAAAATACAGCTAAGGATATCCAGGACAAGAGAGACTTAAGTACCCATTTTTTGCCTGAGACATTACAAACACTCACCAAGAAAGTTTCAGGTGGTAACCCAGAACCAATATAAATCTTACCCAGTAAGATGTATTCTTACTTGATTTGCTCTTTCCAGAATCTCAATCAGCTCAGATGCAACCCTCCAATCACTCTTAGTGACAAGCGTTACTGCCTCCCCAGTACGTCTAAACAAGGAATGAAATAACTGTTGATCCTCAAAAAAACTGCTGCTAGGCTTTTCCTATTGACCTACACAGTAATAAATTGTACTACAGGCAGTATTATTGAACTGCTAGATAAAACTGGCTTGAGTATTTACTATGCACATGACAGAAAGCAACTTTTCATAAAGATCAGAATACGGCAATTCACCTAAAATGGAGCAAAGGCACAACTCATTTAAGACTTTTAGACAATAAACCTAGCATAAAGACAACATATGTAAGTATGAAGAGACATACACTCATATAATGATTAAAATAAGCACATACACAAGAAAAATCACTCTTGTGCCAGCCTGGGAAAGCAGCATTCAAAAGTCCTAACACCCAACTACACCACCATGATAGGCTGAAAACCTTGAATTTATCTATGTTTTTTCCCAATGGACTGTCTAAGAAACTAAACAGCTCAGCTCATGGAGAGACAAACAAGGAAGTGACACTTCAGAGTATCTACACTGAAGTTGTTTTGAACTGTAATTCTTCCCCACATTTAAACTAGCTTTCAAACATCTCTGATTTCCATCCACTTCAATGAAATAACAGAAAAGTGGAAAACTTGTTTGCCTTAAATTTAAAAGTGAACCAATTTCAAAACATAAAGCAGTGTGTTATTATCTAAAATATACTTTGATAGACTTGGAGTCTTCACTCCCCCACTGCACATCCCTGTAGCTCTAGCATTTGACAAAAGAACACCTATGCAGTGCATAAAATATTGACAATATATTACTATTTTCTTGTAAACACTTACCCTGCTCTTCCAGTACGACCTACTCTATGAACATATTCTTCAATGTTGCGAGGGAAGTCAAAGTTAAAAACATGAGTAATATCATGCACATCAAGGCCACGGGATGCCAAGTCAGTAGCTACCAGTATTCTGACTTTGCCTAAAGTAAGTACAACAGAGAAAGAGAGTGGGAGTTCATGGAATGAACAGAAAATATACTCCAGTCTATTGGTCTTCTAGTATATAATGCACTTATTCTTAACACATGAAGGAAAAATATGCTTGTTGCATATCACACAGAGTTAACTTCAAATACAAGGTGGTAAGTAAGCACTCAAAATGTGAAATAAAAATAATAGTAAGACGACAAGTAGAACAGCAGGGTGCAGGGGAAGCAAGAAACATGCCTAGCTGATATAAAGGGTCTGTGAAAAGAACAGAAACTTCCAACAACTATATTCTCAGCTGGCATCCTTATCAACAAAGGATTATTCTTTGTTTTATTAACATGTGATCACATAACCCCAAAGTATAACCCTACTGGCATAATCAAGAGCAGAACTGTTTCACTGAAAGCACCATCATTTGACACTTAAATTTACCATTCTGTAGACTAAGACAATATTGATCTTTTCACAGAGATTTAAAAAATAAAATAAGTCTTACTTTTAAATAATTTAACTCTTGGACATTCCAAATTTTATTTAAGAGCAATCTTTTTGTTTGCTGGGGTTTTTTTTGTCAAATTAACAAAATAAACGTATCATCCAGAGCTCTTTAATATTTTCATTTCTATGGTACAGAAGAGACATGGCACTTACAAATAGGCAAAGTCCTGCACATGACAAACTTTAAAAACCTGGGCTAAACAAACCACTACTTCAGTACAAACATACCTTTCTTGAAGTCATCTAAAGCCTGTTCTCGATCACACTGTTCCCTGTTACCATGAAGCGACTGTACTGGAATTCCCTGGAGACCAAAGTCACTTGCTAAGTCATCAGCTCTAAGATGAAATAAAACAATGGTTCTTAAAAGGGGGGGGGGGGGGGGAAGTGCAGCATCTAGATTTAGTTCCAAAAAGCTAATAATGTGACAACAAAAGCTAAATGTGTGCCTAAGGACAAAACCCTACCTAGGTCAGCTGATATTTATTATAAAACAGTATGAAAGCAAGAATATTCCCCACATAAATGTTTGCTTTTATTTATATGTAAGAAAAACAACAGATGGATTTTTTGTGTTGTTCACTCAAAAAGCTCAGGTATGGTACAACGGCCACCCCCCCCACCAATCAGGCCTTGTATGCACCAGCTGCCTATGAAAGTAAACAGTACATCGCATTAATGTATCCCCAAGAACCTTAACATCTACTTTATGTGAAGTTGAGATTTACCACCACCATTAATGATATTGAAAAGGATACAAACTACCAGTCAGTCTGTAGAAATGAATAAACAAACAAATAAAAATACTACTACTACCAGCATATTGTTGACATGAGCTGTTACGCTTGGTAATTATTATGTGAACTAAGAAATGATCCAGTATTTCCGTTAGAAAAAAATGAAGAGATGTAATGCTGGAAAGTGATTACATACGTAAGTTTTTTTCCCACAAAAATGATGACCTTATCTTTTGGCTTCATAGAGTCAATGAAATATTGCATGAAAGCTTTCTTTTCCTCCTCAGCGATAACAATAACTCTCTGTTCTACCGTATTTACTGCCTGTTAAACAGCAAAAAGGGATGTTAAGTAGAAACAGGTTAGAATAATACCATTTCTGTTAATTCTCGTATTACGGTACTATAAAACTAGTAATATGATACCATGAAAAAACTATTTTAAAACCAAAATATGTATCAGTTTGGAATTCAAACAATGCAGATTTATTCGTTGTTTCCTAGTTGCTTTAGGAGAATAGTAAAATTTGTCTTTAAGCAGTTTGCCAAATCATATATTTGCAGAGATTTAGAGGGTACAGATTAGCAGACCAGTGAGGTGAAATAAATATTCCCAGTATTAGTGAAAATCAGATTAAAGTACTTAAATTTGAGTATATTTTATGTTAATCCAGAGCAAGTTGGAACAACGGCAGTCTTACTTGAAAGGACAGCTTTTAAAGAAGATTCTGTAATCTATTTGAAATTATCAGTTCTGTTCAATTCTTCCAACAACAGTTTGTAAATAAAACTTTACTTCATTATATTTGAAGGTTGCCATAGAATGTCTAAGGTATACTATGCAAGTAGTATAAAGGTCTAGACATTCTCATGGCACTGCATCATGATTTTGTGGCAAGGGTTGAACAATCAGCCCAGTACATAAAAAGATCCTCTCTCTGTGTGGGAACCCTTCCCCCCCAGAGGTCACCTCTTCAATTAAGAGAAGCTCCTGTAAAAGAGATGAATGCATCGGACAGGAGAACTAAATTGCACTTGGTATCTTTCAAATTCCTATCCTCTGTCTTTGACAAGTAATGCCCTTTGATAAAAGCATAGGTCTGAACGGAACAGATAAAAAGTACATTTCCCCCCCGTATTTCCACCTACAAGTGCACTGGATACTAAGTTTCCTCATTCCCTATCACTAAAAAAAGTGGAACTGAAAAGGAAAACTTTGTAATTTAAGAACCAAACTCAAAGCAATCTCTGGACCAGGATGCAGAGATCTTGGAAGAACTACTATTACTGTAAACTCTGGTGGTACTGGAGTCAACTACACATTGCTGCACAAGCATGACAAGTATGCAACTACACCTACATATTAGAAGTTTTGGACTTTAAAGACAGTTCTTATTCCAACATGTACATTCCTGCTCTAGACAAGTGCCCTTCAGGAGTTTAGCACAGAGCTTCCGCTCCCTTTGACAAAGCAGCAGTTAAGAAACACAGGTCCAGATAAGGATCTCTACGCATTAGAAGGAAAAACTTCAGAAAGATGAGTAAGGAACAAGAACTTGCTGAACAGAAGTGAAGGCTGTAAAAACAAGGGCTCAGGCAAGAACACATGGCGCTGTGAAGTACAATATTCAAAGTTCAATTTGATCGATACTTGTCGATGGTGACATCTTCTACTGAAGATCTAGGACTTCAAGATCTTGTTACAGAAACATAAGAACAAAGTTGCTTTCTACTTTTTTTTTTTAGTTCTTTCTAACCTTTTCACAGTGCTTTAGAAGAATAATATGGAGCTGTTTTTTCAAAGTTCAGATTGATTTTAACATTACATGCATTTACTTACATATATTTACAAGCAAAATATTCCCTGGTTTAACTGTAGGTTCTTCTCCAAAACAAAACAAAACAAAAAAGCGCTCAGGAACAGAACAACTTACTGCTAAGTCAAGAGTGCCAACATATACAATCATAGGATTTTTCAAATAAGATTTTGCTAGGCGACGAACACCGTCAGGCCAAGTAGCACTAAACAGGAAACAAAGAGGAAAAGAAGCACATAAGAATAGAGTGCAAAACCTTCTCCAATTCATTAATTTCATCACATTCTTCTTTCTTTCTTATACACCAGTGAAACACTTGAGTCTGCAATAACAGTAGTGAGTTTATGTAACATTCAGAAATAATCTTAATGAGTAATTAGTAAATAGTACTCAAGCTTTAAAGATAACTTTCTAGGTTAAAAGTACAGGCAACAGTTCAGGAGCCTTTCTAATGAAGCCAAAAGCGAGTTTAGTAGTTCAATGATACCTAATAAGTTTCTAGTCAGTTTTTATCTCTAAAACAATAGCTCCAATGCAAAAATGTTATAACAAAAATTATTGTTGGATTATTCTACTGTTAAGCTCCCAAAGCTGCGTAATTTCAAAATTAATCCGAGTACAGCCTAGCACAGATACTGATCAGAAGGTTAGGATACACATTTGGTCCTAGATGGAAAAAGGGAAGTTGGCATTTCAAATTGCTATGGCAAATTCTAGCACTCCCAAGACACCTTCCTTTTTGGGAAGAACTCAGTTGTTTTTATAGCTGATGTAAAACATCAGACAAGGGGTACAAAATGAAAATAAAATTGTCAAATGACTCATTAGGACTGACTAGGCAGAATTAGAAAGAAAACTGGTGCCATTCCCATTTAGGCTGGTAAAAGTTGTAATAAAAATGACACACTTGTTTTGAAGTTTACTTGTTCAATAATCTTATGTTTACAGTGTTCAAGTACTGAGCACTATTATGCTTACATACCTTGTCATAACAGTTTGTCTGTCAGGCCTCACATCTATTAGGATCTTCATTATCTGAGGTTCAAATCCCATATCCAACATTCTGTCAGCCTCATCTAAAACCTGCTCAGAACAACTTTATTTATTGTGTCTAGTTCCTTAGATAAGGGTTTCAGCAGACATTACATGGCAGACCATTTTAATGGTAAGAATTTTAATTGCAGAATCCACTCCATAATGTATTGCAAAACCTGTTCAACTTCTATTTCACCACTCCAATTTTCTTGAGGCTTTTTTTCATTTAGTAATACATTTGCAGGCAGAACAAGAAAATCCACAGCACCTTTAAGAGCACTTAAAAGTCAGTGAAGAAGAAACTACAACTGTTTGTTTAACAAGAATTTGGTTGGTGCCTAAAACTAAGCACAGAATTAAAAAAAAAAAGAGAGAGAGAGAGAGAGAGAGAGAGAGAAACCAAAACCAACCAAACCTGGGTGCGGGGGACCCCACACAACACACTTTCAGTAAGACATTTTTGGTAATTTAAAGGGGAAATCTCACTTCTACCTTGTTAGAGATCTCATACCAGATCAAAATATCAGTTATCAATTTAGTTCCTCATTAGAAGTAGGAAAAAAGCCAGACCATATATTCTGGTTCACACTAGGACACTGTAGAACTCCCAGAGCTCAAACTTGTTTCATCTGGAACAAGTGAGCTGAAGGTCTGAGTACAACTGTTTGGAACTGACTTTTTTTTTCTAATATACAAACACACTTGTGAATGTTTTCAGAGTCTCATACAAAGAAGGCAGCTGCCATCCAAGACTCATTTTTCTCCTTTAATTTTCAAATAGCGTTTATATAAATCAAAGTTCTATGGATCATGCTTTTAAGTACTGACATTTTCTAGTCACTTATGTGGAGACATAAGACTTTGATGATAATCCCTTTCTACTGTCCTTATTTTGCTGTTCCATTCTTGTCAGATGTTTTATTCTATTAAAGGTTTTTAGTACATTATCTATGTAGATCTCTGAAATAATAACAAATCATCAGCTGAGAGACAGAAGACAAGAATTCTATTTCTTGATTTAATTCTCTAATCTTCAAAGGACTCACGGAGATTTCATTAACGACTTGGATTCTAATACAATGGCAAGGCTGAAACATCATTAATTTTGTATACAGAGTTGGCTACTATGCCCCTTCCAGCAGCAGAAGCTTTCTAAGCTATTAAGCACACTGGTACTTTGCTGGAAAGGGAGAAGAAAGCACGTAAGTATGTGTATTAGGTGGATCAGAGCAGTGAAGTTTACTTTCCTTATTTCTGATAGCTGCTTAATAAACAAATAAAGGCTTAATGAATAAATAAATAAAGGCTGTAGTAGATATAAGATAGAAATTAGCACCATTTTTTCCAAATGCCTCGTAGCCAGGTCCTGGTTTATAAGCTATATCTCCCCCCAGCTGACATAATCTTAGGTTTCTTGTTATCTATACATATTTACTTTTTTGTTAATATTATTAATTTCAGTTCTATTTTTTGGCAAGAAATTCTTACAAGCCAGTTCTTCATGTGAAAATTATTTTCTTTCCTCTTTTTAAATTAGTTATAAGTTTTACACTTTTTTTTTTGTATTTGAAGAATAAAAGGATGACTCCAATCTACCTTCTATATCCTACTTCATGATTTTTCTATACAGAGATATATATATGTTTTTAGTATATTCTTTCACCTAAATGCTTCCCAATTATTCATGCACAACTCCAATTTCCTTCCTTATGCTTTATGAGCATAAAGTCAAAAGAAAAAAAGCACTCAGATTACTGATGAACGAATACCAATTTACACTGAACACAGTAAAACACAAAGCAATCCTCAAATGACATGTACTGTAAATAATCAGGCCATATATGACAGAATTTCCCAGTCTTTCTTCCAACATCATGAAAAAACAGCTTATCTTGAATAAGTGGGTTCCTAAAAATCTGAATCAAGACTGCACCTAACTTGATGGTTCTGTCAGGCAAGATGACAAATTCCCTGCCTCCAGGGCAGGTGAATACCTTGTGTACAATGTATATTCAAATATAATTAACTCTAACAGAGTTTGGGTTTTGGCTTTTTTTTTGTTTTGTTTGTGGGTTTTTTTTAAACAAACAATTGTATCCCAGTCTCTGACCTTGGAAGGCCTTTGGTAAACAATTATATCATACCAGGAAATAATACTCAGTGCACTTTGGGAGCATTCACAAGACTCAACAATATCTTTAAATGAAAGCTGTAAATGAAGCTCTTCAGTGAAGAGCATTCTTCATCCAAGGTGTTAAGTTGAAGTCTAATACCCCTCTCTTTTCTCTGAAATAAGGCTTCAAGATTAAATTATTTGTTGGCTGAAAACTGACAGTGAAAGCATCTTATATATTAAAAAGTACAAGAAACTACAAGGAAAAAATATATGATAAGATTAAAAAACCACAGAATTTTGGATGTTCAACTTCTCATATGGGACATAAAGAAGCACAGCATTTCCAGAAAGTCTGAAGCATGAGATGTTAACCACCTTGCAAAACATGGTCCTTGCACTGGTATCAATATTCTGAAAATATTTAACTGCTAACAGTACAACAAATGTTTTTCTCCTGCTTTACATCATCATATTTTTCAGTTTGATAGCTGATTCTTTTTAGTAATGTCATACTGTAGTATATCGTGCACATACTGAAACATCTGATTTTGGTTACATACATCCTCTTTGCTTTACAAAGCAGCATGTGCTGGAGTATGACCATACTTCACCTTGGTAGAGAAAGATTACTAATGTTCCTATAGTCCTCAGAAAGCAGGTTTTCAGGCCTTTTTTCCTCCTGCTTAGCAATTACATGTTACACTTTTACACAAGGCTACTCTTCCGTCTTCCAATAATCCTCTTTTTTTCTAGATGGCCAAATTTCTAATGATGCTATACCACCACTAGCCTTGCCAGTAAGCTCACAACTATTACCTAGAATTGGAGCTAACTCGTTACGGCATAATGAGTATTTAACCCTCAGAGGGGAGTGGGGATGGAGATAAGGGAGGGAAAGCAGGCCAAATTGTCAAAGTAGGCAACAAATCGCCAGTTAAACAGACAACTCACAAATAATTTGAGTATATGAAAGTATTTTACAAAATACTTTGTATGGTTTTAAGCGTCCAGAACAGCAAAAGGCAAGAATGGAATGAAGACAAGGATTCATAACAATGATATTTTCCCACTGAGCTCAAAAGAAAGTCAGTCACCCAAACACTTAAATACCTAACTGTTTCTGACTCTGGTGCTTACTGCACAAGTTCTAATAAGAACGTGAGTCACTGTTAACCTTTGTAAGAAAAGGAAAAGACAACTTGGGAAAAGCATTTCATCCATTAATAACTGATCCTGACAAAATGAAGTTTAAAACAGCAAACATTACTAATGTGAGATAACAGTTTAGCTTACTGTGCTAGAAGCCTGTTTTATTTTTTTCTAGGGAATATTCCACATCTGCAATGCAGTTATGGCAAGTAGGAACCATCCTGCCAACACCAATCTCAACATTAAGATGTATTGTAATTAAGACTTAAAAAGTTTAAAAAAAACTTCATTAAAACTTAAGTTCACACTAAGTTAACCACTTCCCAACTGGTGCAATACTCATCCCATATCAGCTACTTGCCAAGTATGTTATGCTCTTCAAATTTATGAAGTTGTTCATCTGAAGATCATTCAGTCTGCCAGGAGTAGCAATAACAATATCCACACCTTTGGTAACCATGTTTATCTGTCCTTTTCGGTCCCCACCACCATATATGCAAATACTGAAAAATAAAATTTTTTTACAAAAGCAGTGTATTAAGGTTCATCTAAAGTCAATCTTTTTCAAATAAATGCCACCATGTTGCTTCATTTTAAAAAGTATCGTCTGGTATTACCAAGACGAAGGAATACAGCAAGTGTGACTGATAGTATCACAGTAAATAATGGACTTAATACTGCATGATACTCCCTCAACAGTTCAGCAATAGCTTTCTGCTGAAATTGCAGTGAAAGTAATCATGAAAGGAAGGAAGATGGCTATGAAGCTATGAGTATGTTTTGGGTTGTTCTGAAAATATTCACACCAAAATAGACAAACGTATGACAGGATGCATGATTTTCTAAACAGTACCATCAAAAGTCAGATGTTCTGCTGTTATAACAACCAACACATTCAATAAGGTATCAGGCTTACACACAAACTTAACATGCTCTGCAAAACTCCTTAGCATTTTTGGGAAGGAAGCAGAACATACATTTCACTATTTGATGACTACAAGACTAATTCTGAATGCCATACAAAGTTACCAGAGAGCCCTAAAACTAAGTTTCGGAGTACAGTAATGTCTGTTGAATACCTTAAATGAAGATCTACACTCTCAGCAGGTTTGTGGATGAAACCACACTGGGAAAGCAGTCAATACACTAGAGGGCTAGGCTGTTACTCAGAAGAACCAGAAAAAACTAGAGAAATGGGCTGACAGTAATCTCATGAAGTTTAACAAAAGCAAAAATGGGGATGGAATTACCCCAATGGCTGAGGGCCAACATGCTAGAAATTGGCTTTGCAGAAAAGACATGGGCAGGCAAGAAACTGAACATTATTCAGCAGTGTAACCCCACAGAAAAGAGAGCCAGCTGTGTACTATGGAGAAGGTAGCCAGCAGGTTGAGAGAACTCGTGGTCTCACAAGTGCTGAGTAAAGGGGAATAACACCTCAAGCACAATATCCAGTTTTTGTACCCACTGCCTCTATTACAAGACAGACATACCCATACTGGAGCAAGTCCAGCAGGCAGCTACCAAGATGGTCAAGGGGATGGAGTGCATGATGTGAAAAGCTGGTAACCAGGCTTGTTCAGCTGAAAGAGGAGAAGGCTCAGGGAGATGCTACTGCTGTCTACAACTACCTAACAGCAAGATGCTGAGAAGACACAGCCAGACTCTTCTCAGCTGTCCACACAGAAGGACAGAAGCAACAAAGCTACAACACATAGAACTCCAACTATATAAGAAATAGATTTTCACCATAAGAATAGTAAAAACAGGTATTCTAAAAACTGGGGAAATACAAAGTCTGCATTTACTACCTTCCCCTCCTCTCTTAGCAAATGCAATTTTAGTAGGTGAATTAAGCCACAAGCGGTAGGAAAAAAAATATTACTTAACAAGCAAGTGAGAAGTAAGATTACCTTTTAATTCCTTTGTACGTGTACTTCAAACATTCTGCCTCTACTTGAAGTGCCAGTTCTCGGGTGGGAGCAAGGACTAACATTCCTGGCCCCCCACGCTGATCTTTGGATCTGCAATAAAGCATCTTTAGAATGTGGGCTAGGCAAAGTCCATCGCATCTGACATCGACTATTTTTATACCATTCTAGACTTTCTCAGTAACAGAATCTATGGTGACAGATTCGGTACTCATTCCACCAGGTTTATAGGTTTTTTTCCACTTTATGATTTATTATATTCTTTACTAGAAAACCATCATGTAGGGGGTGGGGGCGGGGGGAAGTACCCACAGCTAAACAAGTCAGACATGTAAGCAGTCCTTACATTGGTTGTGAAGTCAAGTGAATGAATCCAGGCATTAAGTAGGCTAATGTCTTCCCGGTACCAGTCTGTGCTATACCAATAAGATCAATTCCTTGGAGTATGATCGGCCATGCCTGGGACTAATATAAACCAACAAATACTTAAATATACTTTTCTCTTGAGCTTTAGTTAAAGAGTCGTTAAAATTGAAGAAATACCTGAATTGGTGTAGGCTTTTGAAAACCAACTTTTCTAATATTAGCCATAATATCAGGATAATGCTCAAATACATCTTCAAATTTACAAACAGGATTGGGAATGCAGCGTTTTTCACCTTCTTTTAAGTCATCACAGATTATATTATTATTTTCTTTCCTGTATAGAATTAAAGAAGTGCAATTGCTTTAACATCTCATTATCTGAAAAAGTAGAGCTAACACAAAAGACTGCCTTTCTGACTTTTTTTTTTTAAATTCCTGGAACAACAGAAAACAAGTTCAGGCTCTTGAATGAGACTTCTAACTCTTCTTCTAACTTTTAAGAAAGCCTTACTACAGAAACACTTCTCCTGGAGGCATCAATTACCATTTTTTCTTAAGAGTGATTAATTTGAAGTTATATTTGGTTATTAACATGAACTGCAGTCCTGTCGTATCAGACTTCAGTTATACTCTATTACAAATTAAATAACTGTGACAAGTTTTTAAACCTAAAGACAACCCAGAACTCAGAGGAATGGATTGGACTTCTTTGTGAAAACTCTATATTCTGACAAAAGCCTTCCTGAAATATTTTCAGAGCAGCTTCCTGGATGCTCTAGAAAATACAAACAGAACAGTTTAGAAAAAAGAACATTGTCAGTAAGACAAACTGAAAAAAAACCCAACAAACCCAACCCAAAAAAACCCCAACCCAACAAAACCCAAAATACAACAACACACACAAAAAGCTACATTAAAAACTGAGGTTCTGAGGCTACCCCCAATTAAGAGGTATTAATATGCATAAGTAGTTTATCTTCATTCCAGTCCTGTACTCTTCTGAAGATTGCATTCAGCAAATAGTTTTACTTCAAGCAGGGTGTGGGCTAGGAAAAGAATGGGTAATTCAACCTCTCCTCATGTTTACATTTTTTTTTTCAATTACTGTCTTTTTTCCCTTAAAGCAAATAAATTAGATGAAAAAGGAAAAACATTCCATTATCACACAAGTGCTATTCCTCAATGCATGTTCTGAACGTACAGAACAATGTTCTGTTGCTCTTGACTAGCTCTGACAGTAACACATACATATACTTCAAGGAAATGGGCATCAATTCCATGCTTTGCTCGCTGTGGCAACCTTTCTATGGTGGGCATGCAAGAGGAAAACCAGACACGATGCAAAAAGAAAAGTAATAAAAGGTAATGATTCAAGAACATTCACCAGCTTCATTAGAACTACTGAAAAGGGTTGAAACTATTACCAGGGCCTGAACCAAATCACTTGAAACAGATCAGCTGCTTTTCTTGCAAAGTAATCATGTAGCTTGCTGGATCACAATGAATGGATACAGTTAACTGAGGCATGTACTCAGCAGGATGTACTTTTAAAGACTAGATGGATAGGAAGACAACAGTAACAGAACTTGAAATTTGTTCTGAAGATGGTATTTGACTAAAACATATGGGGGAAAAATGGTAGCCAAGAGGTATTCAACATGTGAACAATCGTATTTGGAAAGACCTAGAAAACGTGAACATGCTGTCTCACAAAATGCAAAGAAACAGCCAAAATGAATGAATGGTCTTGATTTTTTTCCCTTCTGAAAGTCAACTAGATGATACACTTTTAGAGAAGCAGTTAATCCCTAACGTTAATTTTCCAAGCAACTAATAATACCCCATCTGCTAGTTAGAGTTTAACTCCTAAGAAAGAGTTCCTAAGAAGATCTAGTTTATTACAAGACCCTAACATTAATGCTGCTGTCTCAGTATTTCATCTCCCACTTTCTGGCCTTTATACCTTAATAGTTATTTTTGCCAAGCAGATGATTCCCTATAGAAATGATCTTACCGCCATAGTTCCACTTCTTCTTGTGACATAGATGCAGTCCTTGATGATTCTTTATAGAAGTTTTTCTCAATTGGAGGCAAGTCTTAAACAATGAGAAAAAGTAAACTCAAGACAGTAAGAAATGCTACAGGTTCAGGGCAAGTCTTCTAAAGCTTAAGATGGAAATTTTGAAAGCCAAACAGTGCCTTGTACTAGAAGACTAGTCAAAAGTGGCAGAAGACTATTGCTGTTCATGTAAAAGATGAAGTCTGAGAAACACTGAAGTATCTGCAAAAGAATCACTTCCCCACATTTCAAATTCTAAAGTAATTTCTACTCACATATATAGCATAACATTTAACAATTCTCAGATTTTTGCTGTGGCCACATACAAAATAAGAGCATTTTTAAAGGGTGAAGTAAAAATACCAATTGAATGGCAAGTTTAAGTCTTCACACAGCACCTACAGTGTCCTCCATGACTATGCTGAGAAATGCTGATGTGGTCACTTCACTGCAAATACTTAACTAATTTGGACACTGAAAGATTCAGTCATCTCAAAGCAAAAAGTGGAAACGTTTAAGCATTCAACAGATTTATCATATAAAGACAAGTACCATACAATCAAAATTTTAAAACTAACCTGCCCACTTCATAGCTTCATATTTAGCTTTGTTTTCTCGAAGAGAGTCCCAGTTAATCACTGGTTTCTTTGGGTTATTTTCAGGCTTGATAATATCCAAGATTTTTCCTGCAGAGTTAGTACCAAAATGCTGCTGTTTCATGGAATCTGTTGCAGGGTCAGGGAGACACACACCCTCACCCCCCCCTCCAAAAACCCACAAACACCTTATTTTCTTTTTCTACTGTAAGGCCTCTTACGTGATTTTGAATAGGCGTGAAGCATTTAAATAGAAAATTCTTTCCTAGGTCTTAGACTGAAACATCAGTAAAACATGTATAAATCCATTTCTGATAAAAAAAAGAAGCACATCACATCTTTAGCTACTTAAAGAAAGTAATGACAGGTTCTGAAATGCTGCTCCTCCACCTATCAATAAGGCTTGTTGTACAGCAGGCTTTTGAAAAACTTGTGAACCCAGTAGATGATGTGCGGACAGAAAGCTTTATTTTTAACAGCTACAAGAGCAAGGTTTTCTTCTAAAGCATCCAACGACACCACAGTAAAGTCTCAGTGTAGTTACACTCTATACTTTTTTGATGAGGTTAACACTTTGTAAGAAAGGTTTTACACTGAAGATAAAAATGGCAACACAATTATGTATTAGTGGAAAAGCAGGAAACACAGGGAAAACACAGACACATGTACTAAGGAAGTGTTAATTATTTCTAGTCTCTTGAAACATACTCATCCACCTTCTAGGGCACTTCTAAAATCAAAACTCACAGCTACTCCATTCCTTATTCTAACACTGGAACACAAGTCTCAGATCCCTTCTTCTTCATCAGTGCCTCAGATCAACAACTATGGATGTTGTTTGCCCATGCAAAAAGTTGTTGGGAGCACGTGAAAGACAAATACCAGTAACATAAGCAGCACTTCAACATACAATCATTACTCATATATCCATGTAACAAAGTTAACACAATAAAGCCTAGTAAAGTGAGGCATGATGTGCGACTTCAAATCTTAAATGCTAACTTCCCATGAAGTAGTAAGAAAATAGCATCGCTCATGCTATAATTAGTACATGGTACATTAGTACATAGACTACATTTATAAAAGCTTATCGAATTTTAATACTGCACAGATACTACATTAAAACTTAAACTAGAACCAATACTTGTATTTCGGGGGAATTGGACAGATAATGCAAGAAACCAAGTAGTATAACATTCTGCATTCATTAAAATTGTTGAAAACACACAGGAACAGATTTTCATAGAAGTCTGGCAGTTTGAGGGCGGGAAACTGTTCATAGCTGAGAAAGGAGGATGTCTAGATATTTCTAAGGAGGTATGCCATTGCCCAAGAACAAGGCAAGAGTTAACTCACTTTAGTAAAATACCAATATAAAAACACTCCAGCAAACTACCGAACGTATGGAAAGACAATCCATTGTCTTTTTTTTTTCCAAACCCACATTTCTTACCTTTTTCAGTCCCACCTCTAATGTAGTTTTGTCCAGATCTCATAACAGCGTCGTCAATCAACATCTTGGCTTTGTTTTGCACAGCAACACTGCCAAAAATCTTTACTTCAGCTTCATAGGTTCCCTTTATAACCTACATTCATAAAACCTTACTGAGTTTTTTTAATACTGCAAAGACAAACATCATATGAGAAAACGTACTGAAAACAATCTTTGATTTTTTTTTTGTCTGAATTTTAACTTCTCTTCCCAGGAAAAGGCCCTTTAATTCCCTTTGCGAAAGAAAGGAAAACAAATGCATACATAAAAAAAAAAACCCAACCAAAACAGTAAGCTTTTCCTGCTTTCACATACCAGTCAAGTGGCACCCTCAATTCCACTTCCTTTTTCCCAATTCTTGTAACAGAATAGAATTATTACAGCTACTGCAACATCCTTCAATTTGCTGCAGTAATTCTGAAGCATGGAAGCAAAACAAAGTATGTTCCCAACAGAGGCCAGGCCTGGATGACACACAGCACATGGTACCTTTATCCTGGAACCCGAAGAATCCTCAAGTTCTCTTATTTTAGCTCCACCCCGACCTGTTATAAAGATACACTTAAGCTATTACAGAGATTTAGACCAAACCATCAAAAACTACACATGGTAACTCTAAGCATTTCAGTTGTGACCAAAATCTAAGACCTTCATATGAGCACACGCATCCAAAAGTAAAAGAACTTGTGACACTGAACTGTTGGAAAATGCAGGTAACTTTTTTGGCAATTAACCAAACGCAAGGTGCGGGACGGGGGAGACACCTCAGTTGAAGAGATGCAGCAGCAAAACCAGCTCAAGAGCCACCCTTCCTCCACATGACTGGAGAGGGGCTTCAGCCCACTTACAGACTGCTGGCCGTAAGAAACAGACAACCCAGCCACTTTAGGGAGGAAAAGCTCAGCTACCCTGGCCAGTGGGAGAGCTCCACTTTTCAGCCAGTACCCTGCAAAAACATCCTGCCATCCTCAGGCGAGAGAGGTGTAAGGGAATCACAAGGGGCTGGGGCCCTTCCACGGCCGAGGAGAGGGAAGGCAGCCATGCACCTCCTCGGGGCACAGAGGGAGGGAGGGAAGGGGGGTTAAGGGCCCACACCAACAAACCTCTCGGGTCCTCTCCTCCTCCCCCCTCACCTCAGCGGGCCAAGCCCACCCGGTGTGTGTGTGTGTGCGTGCGGCCGTTATTACCTATGAGAGCCCCGACCAGGGCGTTATCGAGGTGGAAGCAGAGGGGCGCCACGGCGTCCCCAGCCTGGCCGGCGGCGACTCGGGGCGGCCGCTGCCGCGCCGCTTCCCGCGGGCCGCAGGAGCCTCCAGCGCCTCGAGGCCCCCGCTCTTCCTCTCCGAGGCCGACCGCCGCCTCCCACCGCCACTCAGCGCTCCTTCGTCCCCCGCCGCCCTCTACGGAGGCGCGGCTCTGCGACGGGAGCGGCGG